TGCCTTGGATGTCTCTTTGATGGCTTATGAGCTTGTGTTATATGCTCCATGTTTTGGCCATTGTACATGCCTTTGAATTTGGGCCACTTAGATGCCATCTAGGGGGTCCCCTTTGCATGGTCTAGGTCTGCCTTGGACCTGTTTTAAGCCCCCTAGGCCTTGTGAGGCTTGGTTGGCTTAGTCATGGTTTAAGTCCCTTTGACTTGCTTCAAGTACTTGGGCCATTTATTTCATGCTTAGCCTATTTTGTTTACTTGGTTTAGCACCATATTCTTGCATAATTTTCAGAGCTTAATGCATGTCATTTATCCATGTTTGCATTCTCTTAATTGTGCTTGAGAATTGCTTTTAAATGCTTGAAGTATTGGACATCCTTTGCATGCATGTGTGTGTGCGTTTTAGTCCTTCATTTTGGGCACTATGGCCACTATTTTGGGCCTAATTAGAGCTCCCCAAATCATGTTTAAGTCCAATCTTTACATGTTGTTACATGTCTTACACTTTGCATGCTTTTATTGCACCATGTCTTGCATGTCCACTAGCTTGCATGCTTGTTCATTGCTTGCTTGTTTGCATTGCCATGTTGCATCCCTAGCTAACATGCCTAGGTTGCATTAAACATGCATATCTTGTCCCTTGATTTAGTGATAGGGATTGGACCCCTTTGGTTTGTTGGTTTGCATTGCACTTAACATCAAAATGTGCATACTTGGTCACTTGGGCCATCATGCATGGAAATGCGCGATTGATGGTCTGAGAACCAAAAAGCATGTCCCTTTGACTCACTCACATGATAAGGAACATGATTGGTGAATATATGGCCTAAATTGTATTGCCATGCAAAGTCCTGTCCTCTGCTGCTGTCAAACAGGTTCTGCAGGCATTCTCTGCCAATCGACTTCATAGAGTGCCAACCGGCAATAAACTGGCAACCGATGGATTCATTATGTGCCGATGACCACCAGACCACTGCCGGTGACCATTATACTCAGCCGATGGTATCCCCCAATGTCCAGAGAAGCAACTCTGAAACTTTGACAGTCTTCAGAGGAGCAGAGCAGGGAAAACAGAGGCAGATTGTGCATGGCATTAAATTCCCAAGCAAGACCAAGCATGCATTGCATCGAGCTCTCTTCCCGAGGCGGTTTACTGTTTTTCCTAGCTTAGTTAGTTTGTTAACTAATTAGGTGGTTTGCAATAATTAATTAGCTAGGATAGTTAATTCGTTATTTAATCTGTATTATTCTTTCGGTCCCTCTGAGCGAGGGTAAAGTTGTAATAAGTGTGGGTGCGTGTGTGTGCATGTCTTCCAATCCCCACTTCTTTCTTCCTTTTTACTTACCTGCTTATGATGGTTAGTAATAGGACATGTTTAAATTAGCATACGTTATGCTATGCATGCGTGCATCCATCCATTGGTCTTGCATGCACCGGGCTCGGTACATCACTCTAACTGCATTTGTACTTCGATTCCAAATTGAATACGTGATTAGTTGTAGCATTTCACATGTCATTATAGATTAGTCGAGCCTATCTTAATCGCATTCTGTATGTGTTGCATTAGCCACTTTAACATAAACTAGGATCACGCATGATTACTAACTAGTTTATTGTTTTGGCACGGAGTACGATGTAAGTATTTATGTTTTAGCATCCTCGCATGTGTGTGGGTGTTGCCATGATAGTATGATTACCATGTGGCTAGATGCTTATTTGATAAACTGTTTGGATGCCTGTGGGTGAAGGTTGGGTTGCCCGAGTTGGAATAACTCACTGAAATCCATGTTTTTTAGCCTACTTGCGAGTAGCAAATTCCAAAACGTTTTCCGAAACAAATGGATATGCAATGCTTTTTCCCAAATTAGGCAATCTAGTCAATACTTATTTGCTGCGCGCATAACATAGTAATTCTAGGCTAATAAATGGAATAAGAACACATAACATTTTCAAAAACAGATATCACGGTTAGTAGAGGCCGTTCTTCGGATCGGGCGAGAGGGGGTGCTCATAGCTGACCTTCCCCAATCGTACCCTAGCTCCCGAGCCGAGGCAACTCTGGTGATGACGGACATGTGGCCTTCGGCACCGAGTCAGGGTTTCCTAAATTCCCCCATAAAAAATATTTAGGTGGCGACTCTGTATCTGGCAAAGCAGTCCATGTTTGGCACTTCTTTTTCTAAAAATCTGTTTTCTCAAAATGATTTGCCAGATTTGGACTCTTTGGTTCAGATTTAGAACCGCGACATCAAATTGAGTCCGAACTGTAAAGCGGCCCCACGCGGGGCGCGTCTACAGTATGCTTGCATTCATCATCCCTTTCATGCCTTGAAGAGTTGTTCTTTTATGCCTTAAAATGGGTCATAGTGCATGCCTTTTGTTTAAGTCATTTGGGCTGCCATATTAGTGGGTTTTGGGGTGTATTTTGATGCATTGAAACTCTGTTTTTGTTTGCATAATCCATGCCATGTTGGGTTGGGGTAGGTGTAGAGTAATGCTCCCTTTTGTGGCCTGGAATCCCCCTTTGTTTTGCACCCATTTCTTAGCATGTTTTGACCATGATCTATGCATGCTTTAGTCTTGTTTTGGAGTACCTTAGGACTGATTTAGGTCATTTTGGTCCTTTGGGATTTGGTTTGGACCCCTTTGTTGGTTTCAAGTTTTGGTCATTGTTGCATGCCTTGCTTGCATAACATGGTTGATTTGGCATCATCCTCTATGCATTTTTAGAGTTTAACATGTTGGCCTAATGTCCATGTTTGCCATCTTTTGAGTGTTCTCGAAAGTTACCTTTTGTGCCTTAGCTTTAGGTCCATTGGTGTGTATGTTTGCATGAGCATTTGTCCATCATGTGCATCATCTTTGGCCACTGTTTTGGGGCACGGCTGAGGCCTCCCATTTCAGTTTAAGTCCACCATTGCATGTTTTGACATGTTGCATTATTTTGGTTTCATGCTTACATTGTACCATCTTTGCACGTTTGCATGTTGTTTAGCTAGTTGCATTTCATATCCTAGCTTGCATGATAGGTTGCATTGCATTGTATCTCGCATGTTTGGGACATTGCATTTTGGCATGCCTTGTTAACTTAGCTTCATGTTGCATATTTGGCCCATGTTGCATACTTGAGCCACATTGCATACATGCATTACATTTTGCTTGGTTTGGGGTGTCAAACCAAGCATGAGGGAGAGGGGCGTTCGTACTCAAAGTGACGTAACACGCCTCAATCCTCGGTCGCCGATGTCCTTGATCTCTACATGATAGGGCATAAGGCATTCATTTGTTTTGTTGCATACATTTACATTGATTTGCAAACACGGTGCCTTTGGCCATCATGCATCGAAATGCTTGATTGGTGGCCCGAGTACCGAGGGCCACACTCCCTTGAGTCCTTAGCATGATTGGGAGAGTGGCCATGCACACATTGCTTTGAAAATTACATGCCATGCACTATCTGTCCTCTGCTGCTGTCAAAACAGGGCTTTGCAAGAAGAAATGGCCGGTCGACCACTTTTGGTGCCGACCGACCATCAGTGTCTATCCGGTGGTTCAATGTTTGGCCGATAATCCTATTCCCATGGTCAGTGGATTTGAATTGTGGCCGGTGGCACTCCACAATACTCAGGAGGAAGCTCAAAGTAGTTCTAGAAACCTGCATAATTTTCAGAGAAGCAAGGCAGTGTAAACAGAGGCAGCTTTTGACATGGCAGTGAGTTTCTGAGCAAGACGAGTCAAGCATGCATCATCCACGCATTCTGAGGCAGAGCTGCGGCGGTCTCCCCAGTTTCATATTTAGACTTTTTTTGTAATTAATTTTTTTTAATTAATTAGAAGCTTTGTAATATTTAATTAGCTAGAGTAGTTAATTATTTGTTTAACTTGAATTATTCTTTTGGACCCTCCGAGCGAGGGCGAATGTGTAATAAGTGTGGGTGTGTGTGTGCATGTCTTCCAACCCCCATTTCTTTCTCCCTTTTACTTACTTGCTTTTGATGGTTAATGCTAGGGCATATTTAATTTAGCATACCTTATGCTATGCATGCATGCGTGCATTCATTCATCAGTATTGCATGCACCGGGTTCGACGCATCATACTAACTGCATTGTATTTCAATTCCAAGTTGAATACGTGTTAGTTGTAGCATCATCATATGCCATCATAGAATAGCCGAGCTTATTGTAGTTGCATCTTGCATGAGTTGCATTAGCCATCTTAACATGAACTAGGATCATGCATATGATTATTAACTAGTTTCTGTTTTAGCTTGGAGTACTCGGTAAGCATTTATGTTTTAGCATCCTTGCATGAGTGTAAGTGTTAACATGACAGCATGCTTACCATGTGGCTATATGCTTATACGATATATCCGCCTGAATGCCTGTGGGTGAAGGTTGGATTGTTTGAGTTGGAACAACTCGTCGAAATCCATGTTTTAGCATACTTGTGAGTAGCAAATTTCAAACCGATTTCCAAACAAATGGATATGCGATGCTTTCTTCCAAATTATGCGATCTAGTCTTTACTTTTGTGTTGTGCGCATCACATAGTAAGATTAGCTAATTAATTGGAATAAGAATGCATAATGTTTTCAAAACTAGATATCATGGTTAGTAGAGGCCGATCTTTGATCGGGCGAGAGGGGGTGCTCATAGCTGACCTTCCCCAATCGTACCAAAGTTCCCGAGCCGAGGCAACTTTGGTGATGACGGACACGTGGCCTTAGGCAAACGAGTCAAGGTTTCCTAAATTCCCCCAATAAAATATTTAGGTGGGGACTCTGTATCTGGCAAAGCAGTCCATGTTTGGCACTTCTTTACAAAAAAATCTGTTTTCAAAAACGATTTGCCGGATTTGGACTCTTTGGTTCAAATTTAGAACCGTGACAATTTGAGTCCCGAACTGTAGTGAGCCCAAACGAACAAAACGGGATTCCCTCCCGGGGCGTTTGGGTAACGTCTATAGACTACACTGAATTGAACACACAATCATTCCTATTTCTTCACACAGACCACATTATAACAGTTGGTAAAACCTTCCAAATCTGGTTTACTTTCTTCTTAAACTTCCAACCCATCCACCATAGCAAGAAATCTTCAATGGAACTACGAGTAGCCCACTGAAAACCCCACCAAACAGCAAAATGAGACCAGATTCTCCAAACAAAAGGGCAGTGAATCATAATATGTTCAGTTGATTCACTTGACTCATGACAAAGAATGCACCTTAGAGCATCATCACTCACCAAAATGCCTAACTTGTGAAGCAGCCCTTTTGTTTTCAATCTACCTTTCCAAGCTAACAAAGAAAAGAATTTAGCTTTTAGAGGCGAGAAATTATTCCATATCAGTTTAACTGGTCTCTGAATGTGGCCATCATTAACTAAACCCCAAGCATAAGTAAGATTTACCTTGAACACACCTGATTGTATAAGTTTCCAACACAAGCAGTCAACAGCATTACTTCTTAACACAGGGCCTGATCCTAGAAAATTTTGTAACCTAACCAACTCATCCTCTTCCCAAGCCCGAAGTGATCTTCTGAAATTAAAAACCCACCTAGATTGATGAGATCTTCTAGCTACTTGCAAACTCAAGGAAGATTCTTTAGCTACGACCAGGTGAAACAATCGAGGAAATTGGCTTAATAAGTTTGTCGATCCCATCCAAGGATCTCTCCAAAAACTAATTCTGACTCCATCTCTTACTTCAATCTCAATATTCTCCTTGTAAAGCTGAAAGAGCCTAACATTCTTATGAGCTACTTGTGATAACCCTGGTCCGTATTATGCTAATTTATCTTAATTATGATTGTGATTATGTGTTTGATATGATTTTGAGTGCCATTTATATGAATATATGTGGTTTTGAATTTTTATTTGTTTACTGTAGGAAAATTTGTTTAACTTTCTGCTTTGGAAATTAAATTGAAGCCCCTATCGGCCATAAAACCTGAAATTGACCACGCCATTGTGATTAGCGTAATTTTTAGAGCCTACGGTGAAATTTAATTGAAAATTGATTCAGATCAAATTAAATAGATTAAATTAATGAAATGGGCTCAATTATTTAACATTAAAGAAATGTGTTTATGAAGGAGCTTATAAAGGGCCAATTACACTCTCATTGTGTTGTCTGGAGGCTCAAGTCAAATTTTATACCTTAGGGAGAGAGTGAGGCCGGCTTAGAGAGAGGGAGGGAAAGCTCAAATTGAAGATTGATCAAAAGGTTTAAGAATTGGAAGATAAACTAAAAGAACTTGAGTGTTTAAAGCTCCTAGGTGAGTAAATTCATGGATTTAGTTTGTAATTTTGTGAATTCAAGATTTAATGGTGATCAAGAACATGAATGGAATTGATTGTGATGAAATTGAAGTTGATATGTTCATGCATGCATAGAATTACTATGAATTGCCATGAATTGTCATAATCTAACATGTAGCATGCCAATTATGCAAGATTAGGAGTTTGATCATACATGCAAGCATGGTTTTGTTGAGTTTCATGAGAATAGACACCATTTGCATCATTTGAAATGGAATTGAAGGCAAAAATTGGCATACATGTTTGAACAATGGAAATATAGAGATTATGTGAAGTTTGAATGCATGAGCGTTGATTATACCAAGAAATGTTGCTTAACTTTGAAGATTGGACCATGATTTTGAATAATTGGCCTGGTGTTGTTTACATCCATATGTTGTATGATGTATTTTCATGTTTTTGGTACCTTAATTCGAGCTTTGGAGCCTTTGAATATCAAGTTTGAGCTTCAAGAACAATTCTGGAAAACCCAGAATTCTTGAAGTCCGCTCGAGCGGGGGAACCGCTGCTCGAGCGTAAAATACGAGCTCCCAGAATATTTTGCAGGCATTGATGTCCGCTCAAGTGGGAAAGTTCACACTCGACTGGGGAGCTATGTAGAGTGACTTTCAGCTTGAGCGCCCGACTTCACGCTCAATCGTAAAAATGAGGCAACCAGTACTTTCGCAGACCTAATGGGTCTGCTCGAGCGGGGACCGCCGTTTTCAGAAATTTTGTAAAAGTGTTCTGTGTTTCATTTTTCATTCTCTTTCACTTCTAAGTGCTCTTAGGCATGTATCGACCATTTTGAATGAATTATAAGAATTAGAAAGAAGCCTAAGAGGGATGTGTGAATTAAGAACGGATTGAATCGTTTGTGACCCATATGTGTTATGTAATGTGTAGGGTCGAGCTCTAGGGCAAATCAACCAACCGATCACTGTGAGTAATATCTTAATAAAGATATTTTCAAGTATGTATTTGTCCAAATGTTTATTTCCTTATAAGTCTCATGAGCTCGTTAATTTGAATTGTGGACAATTGTTTGCTATGCCAAATGGTTGGGCCAAAGGCCAGTCTGACATGAATGAAAGAATGGTTGGGCCAAAGGCCAGTTTGACATGAATGAAAGAATGCTTGGGCCAAAGGCCAGTTTGACTTGAACGAAAGAATGAATGGGCCAAAGGCCAGTTTGACATGAATGGATTGGGCCCAAGGCCGTCCGATGTGTTTGGAACCGCAGTCACTTGACCTATATATATATACACTAGATAGAAATACGAATTGCGCCCAAGGCCGTCTGATGTATATTGTTCTAATGTATCTTCTTCATTCGGTATTATTCACTGGGCTTTTGCTCATGCTTATTCATGTGCCTGTATGTGAGCCAAGGGAGGTCCAGACCCAGCCTCAGTAAAGTTTGTGAGGAACAGTCAAGGTTTTGGAAAGTCAGCCCATACGTCTCACGCACGAGACTTTTTCTCGCCCTTTTTGCCATCTTGTTACATTTTGTCATGTTAGCGAGAACTTTGGATTACGGTTGTAAATAAGTTTGGTTAGGCTTACTAAGTCTTGTATGATCCTGTTATGTAAAGTATATGTATATATTGACTTCCTTTTGATGTGAGTTATTAACGAATCCTTTTGTGAAATGTTATGACGTGCCATGTACGCATAGCTCTATGGACAAAAGTTTGAAATGCTTCCGTTTGGCCCCGTTAACTCTGTTGAAATAAGTTTGATTTGGTTTGAGGCCATAGGTAATCTCGTGATTACTGGCCGGCTATGTCCTTATCCCGTCGGGGGGCGGGTATGGGTCATGACACTACTAGTAAAATGTCTTTCCATATCTTAGATGTAGAAATAGATTCAGCCAGAAAAGGATACCACCTTCCCTCTGTAGAGCCATACTTCTCACATATTACCATCTTCCACAACGCATCCTCCTCTTGGCCATACCTCCACCACCACTTTACTAGCAAATTGTCATTTGCTAGCCTGATATTTTTGATCCCCAGACCACCTTGTTTCACACTCCTACATACCTCCTTCCAACTCACTAGATGGATCTTTCGATGATATTCTGAATCACTCCATAAAAACGAAGCTTGAATCCTATCAATCTCTTTAGCCACAGTCTGGCATTTTGAGTTACTAGTAAAATGTCTCTCCATATCTTAGATGTAGAAACAGATTCAGCCAGAAAACGATGCCACCTTCTCCCTGTAGAGCCATACTTCTCACAAATTACCATCTTCCACAACACATCCTTCTCTTGGCCATACCTCCACCACCACTTTACTAGCAAATTGTCATTTGCTAGCCTGATATTTTTGATCCCCAGACCACCTTATTTCACACTCCTACATACCTCCTTCCAACTCACTAGATAGATCTTCCGATGATATTCTGAATCACTCCATAAAAACGAAGCTTGAATCCTATCAATCTCTTTAGCCATAGTCTGGCATTTTAAAAAGAGACATGTAATACACCAGTAAAGCAGACAACAAAGATTTTATGAGTGTAACTCTCCCAGCAAACGACAAAACTCTTCTCTTCCACCCAGATAACTTCTTCTTGAATTTCTCCACAACTGGTTTCCAAGTTAACCTCCTACTAGGACTGGCCCCCAATGGTAATCCTAGATATTTTAAAGGTAACTTCTGGCTTAGACAGTTCAACTTTGCAGCAAACTCATCAACCTCCACATCGGCCACCCCCTCTCTACACACAACACTTTTTGAAAAACTAATCCTTAAGCCTGAGATGACCTCAAAACACCTAAGGATTGTTTTAATAGTGAAAATTTCAGACCATTTAGCCTCACAGAAAATCACTGTGTCATCAGCAAATTGCAGGTGAGAAACATTCAAACCATTAGCACCTACTGAAACACCTTTAAAAAAATCCATCGCCTTAGCTCTTGATATGAGTATGTTCAATCATTCAGCTACAACATTAAACAAAAATGGGGATAACGGATCACCTTGCCTTAAACCTTTTTGAGGGCATAACTCAGATGATGGTGACCCATTAACCAGAACTAAGACCCTAGCAGAAGAGATGCATCCCTTTATCCTCTTGATCCAAGTAGATCCAAAACCAAAACTCCCCAGCAATTGATTGAGGTAATTCCAGTTGACCGTGTCATATGCTTTTTCAAAATCAAGCTTTCGGATTAACCCCTTTTTATTTGATTTCTTCCACCAATCTACATTCTCATTTGTTATAAGAACGCCATCCATAATGTTCCTCCCACCTAGGAAAGCAAATTGAACTCTATCAATCACTGATGGCAATACGAATTTAAACCTGTCAGCAAGCACTTTTGACAACACTTTATAAATGGAACTAATGAGACTAATGGGTCTAAAGTCTTTAATTGATTCAGGGCAATCAGATTTGGGAATCAGGGTTACAAAAGAGCAGTTAATTCCATTGTCCAACACACCATTATCATGAAACTCCTTCATAAAATCCATGATGTCACCCTTCATGAACTTCCAGCCTTTTTGAATACAAATCAAGTTAAACCCATTTGGACCTAGAGCTTTGTTTCCATCACATTCCTTGACTGCTGTCCAAACTTCTGCTTCTAAGAAATCTAGTTCTAAACTCTGAAGTTGGTCTTGATCAATGCATCTAAATTGACCCCCAAGTCTTGGTCTCACTTTCCAATCTTCAGTGAACAAAGTTTTAAAATAAGCCCACATAGCCTGTATTAACTCTAGGGGCTCCTCATATAGAATATCATTGATCTTCATAGAATCAATATGGTTCCTACTTTTCCTTTTGGATGCCATTATGTGAAAGTATCTAGTGTTTTTATCTCCTTTAAGGCCCAATTTAATCTAGATTTTTGCAACCAAATCCATTTCAATCTTTTTCCACTCTACCAAACTACATTTCTGACTTCAATTCTTCTTCTAGCTTCAACTTCTGTAAGATCTCTCACTTCAGTAACTAAATCCCATGAATGTAACTCAGCTTCAGCTGCTTTAAGTTTGGAGACCACATGACCAAAAACCTCCAAATTCCAAATCTTCAGTGCCTGTTCGAGTGATCTTTGTTTGGCCATAATTCTAAAGCCAGCCCAACCCTCTACTTGTGAACTAACCCAAACTTTTTTGACTTCTTGGATAAAGCTGGGATGTAACACCCAAGCATTTAAAAATTTGAAAGGCTTAGGGCACCAATCCCGCTCATCTTCCTTCAAAAAAATTGGACAATGGTCAGACAAAGTGCTAGGAAGACCCCATAGCTTAAATCTAAACCATTCAAGCTACTCCGGATTTAATAGAAATCTATCAATTCTACTCCAGCAGACACCTAACTGTGAATTGCTCCAGGTGTATTTCCTTCCAAACATACGTACATCCACCAATTCAAGTTTATTAGCAAAATCATTGAACTCTTGCATCCCCTATCGCTTCTCACACACCCTTATCAAGCAATTTGTTTTAGTTTAACGTTTAAATTTTTATCAAAGAAAATTTCAATTTAAAAAATTCAACATTCAATTTTTAATACTTAATTTTAAGTCTTTAATTTTTAATTTTCAATTTTATTAAACACTGCCTAAATTGATAATAAAACTAAAAACTAAATTATGAAGGCTAAAAATAAAGTATTGAAAAATATATGCTCTTTTAGTATAAAAAATTGTTTAGAATTTAATAAAAATATAAGTGATGAATTTAACCAAGTCATGTAAAAAAATTTAAAAATTATTGATTTTCCATAGACTTTATATTTGTGGAGCTGGTGGAGTGGGGGATAATGGACGCGATGTATGAGGATTGTGGTGGTGGTGATAATTGTGTGAGATATGACAGAGTTAGCAAAGGTGGCAATGGAGGTGATGACAATTGTATGATGGTGGTGCTTATAATGATAGTAGTGATGGTAGTAGTGATGATAACATCATGGTGGACGTAGAGGTGTCATGAAGGTGATGGTGGTGGTAGTGTTGTGATAGTGGTGGTGTTGTGAAAGTGGAGATACCAATGACAATGACAATTGTGTGGCAATGGTGGTGGTGGACAATAGTGGTGACAGTGGCACTAATGGTGATTGCATTGGTGATGACAAAATGGGATAGTTGTGCTAACTAGTGGTGATTGCATTGGTGATGATATGATAGGGTAGTTGTGCTAACTGATGTAGATGGTGGGCTATTGGTGGTAGTTGAGTGAGGTGGTGGTGATAATTGTGTGAGATATGACAGAGTTAGCAAAGGTGGCAATGGAGGTGATGACAATTGTATGATGGTGGTGCTTATAATGATAGTAGTGATGGTAGTAGTGATGATAACATCATGGTGGACGTAGAGGTGTCATGAAGGTGATGGTGGTGGTAGTGTTGTGATAGTGGTGGTGTTGTGAAAGTGGAGATACCAATGACAATGACAATTGTGTGGCAATGGTGGTGGTGTACAATAGTGGTGACAGTGGCACTAATGGTGATTGCATTGGTGATGATAAAATAGGATAGTTGTGCTAACTAGTGGTGATTGCATTGGTGATGCTATGATAGGGTAGTTGTGCTAACTGATGCAGATGGAGGGCTATTGGTGGTAGTTGAGTGATGTGGTATGGTGGTGATGGTGGCAATAATATAGTGGTCTTACACTTCAATAGTGACATTATCATAACAGCTTAAAAATTTAACATTTGACATATTAAGTAAAAAGTCAATGACTTTAGATAATTTATATATATATATTTAAGAAGTGCTTAAAATTTGAAGTGATACAAATTTTTATTTCAAAGGAAACTTAATTTATTCTTCTTAAATACATTTAATTTTAAATACTGAATTGAGTAAAATACCACCTAACATATTTTTGTCCTTTTTTTGTTCAGTTTTGTATTGTTAGTGAACAAGATTTTTAATGCTAGGAGTTTTAACCAACAGCATACTAATTAAAACATAAGGTAAGATATGTATGTAGATTCCACCACTTGAGATAAGGTTCAATTAACATTGTATCTAGTTAGTATAATTATGTATCCCTAACATTATTATTTTTTCCTGTTGATGAACTATAATATATAACATAAGTTACTACTAATCAATGATAAGGGGTTGGCAGATGTGGTAGTTATGCTGCTTTTTGCCCTTTGTTTTTGGTCTTTGTTTCTCTTGTTGGTTTCTCACCAAGAGCCAAGGCTTGTGCTAGCATTTGACAGGGTTCCCCTCTCAAATGCTCTTTGTACTTCCTTCCCCGTTTATTGATGTATTTTCATACTTTGTATGCTATTTCCCATCAATAAAGTTTCTTTTTGTGGATCAAAATAATAAAATATGACATCAAAAATTTTGCTATTTGGACATAAAAAGCGGATCCAAAACAATCTGATAACCACATCTGGATATCCCAGCATGATGATTTGTTATTGAATGGCATCTTATTTGGTTGAGTTCAGAATTTATACATTACATTTTGTTTTACGCGTGTCTATATTAAAATTTTCTTTGCATATTTATTATTATTATTATTATTATTATTATTATTATTATTATTATTATTATTATTATTATTATTATTATTATTATTATTATTATTATTATTATTATTATTATTATTATTATTATTATTATTATTATTATTATTATTATTATTATTATTTGTTTTTAGTTGGAAAAGGTGTTGTACAAGGTAGAGAGGAAGTTGTGGTTTAAGTATCAGAAGCTGGTAATGGGTGGTTGTATGAAAGCTTGATCATCAAGCTGCGTACCTTTTTATCCCTTTTAGCTTTTAAGGAGGAATGTCAGAAGAGAGGTTTCCAGGAGGTAAAAATTAGAGCAGGTGAAGGTAAAGTTGTAATTCTAACGTTCAATTCAGTCATGGAGATGAAAAGGCAGAAGGAGGAACCGAAGGAATGGATATTTGAATGGTGTAGTTCAATGGAGGAGCAAAATACGGGACATAGTGTTACTCAAGAAAGGTGTGTGTGGATTAGTTGTTATGGTGTTCCATTTAATTTATGGAGTGTGGCTACATTTAGAAGTATAGGGGTTGTATGGGGAGAAGTAGTGCAATTACATGACGACACCATTAACAATGTTTCTTTTGGTGGTGGGAAAGTTCGAGTCATAACAAAATCCATGAAGTTCATCAATAGGACTATACGATTGAGTTGCAATGGAGTAATATACCCACTAAGGATTTTATGAATGTCCTGAGAGTTCGGAGATGTCAGCTTGTAGTAAGAGCTTTTTTCTGTCGATAGGTTGAAGATGTTAAACGATCCTGATGGTAAGGAGAAGAAAGATAGATGTTCAGCTGTTAAGGGTGACCAGAGAGGTAGTACACAGTTTACAAGAGGGATTGAGATCAGAGATTATGATGTGGCCCAATGTAGTGCTGCCATACCATCTAGGGATGGAATAATCGAAGCTGTGCTGCATAGAGATGATATTAATGTTGAAGGTAGTGATAGTTCGGTGTTAGAAACATGTCTGGTTGGTACAAAAATGAATGTGGAAAAACCAAACGGTAAGATGAGCTGTAGGGTGGAGGAGCATATGATGATGGAGATTCCAAGAAGAATGAATGACGTTGGAGAGGTAGTTGGGGAAGTAGTTGGTGAAGAAGAAATTGTGACCCTTGGGTTTGTCAAAAGCATTAGTGGGTCTGAGGAAATTGGGCCTAGTATCAATATTCAGGTAGTGTTAGAAGGGGCCAAGTTAAGAGGTGATAGAAATAGGCTAGAGACAGAAGTTAGTATTTTGGGATTAGGCCAAGATAATAGTGTTAGGGCTTAGCCCAACTCAAATCCAATAAGGCTATTAGATGTTAGTGGAAGTGAGGATGTGCAGTCGACAGTTCACAAGTCAGAACAAGTGGGGAGAGATGCTAATCACCGAAGGAAATTGGGGGGATATGAAGGTACAAGAGGAAGGGGGA